TAGGAGCTCACACTCTGCTCATGCTCTTCCTTCTTGTTGGTGCTACTGTCTGGTTTGGTATCTTGAGTATTTATGTTCACTTGCTTATTTCCAAGTCGTGTGTGTCTGTCAAATAAAATCACTCCCTGGAAGCTAAGGTACAAGTGAATGGTGAAGACTAGCTCTGTTTTACCCCAGGATTGTTGTTATTAAGTGACCGTAAGTGTACCTTTGTTTTTTAAAAATATTGTATTTTTGATAAAAGTATACACAGGGAAACAGGTTCCCATTTCACAGTGTCTCCACGTAATAATGTCAGTGACACTGATGACATTCTTCATATGTGTCAGCATGCCTGTTGCTTCCGTCCTGTTAACAAACTGAGTCTCACAGGCCCCCAACCCTCTCTTCCTTGCTTTAGAATAACTGCTGTTCTCTTAGTCTCATACAGATCCTTTTTTTTTTTTTTTTTTTAAGTTTTTATTGTGAATTGAGTGATAGTTTACAGGAGAACATTGGTTTTACCCTCTTCATTTCATTGCAATGATTACAGTCTCCTCTGTGCTTCATTATTCAACAGTATTTGCTTCTATTACCTCAGTTTTTTTTATTTGTTTTTGTTTTGGATATACACAAAAACACTCAGGAATATATGATCATTTAAACAAACAAAGGGCACATTCTGCAAGCCTCCTGGCTGCCAGCACCCAGTCCCTCTCTTTCCATGAGTCCAAAGTCCTCAGCTGCTCCCTCTCTCCATGTCCTCATCTCTGCCTTTATGTCTAGTGCCGCTGCTTCTCTGGATAGGGTCCAGCATTCTGCTTGTGCTCTTCTCCCTTGATGATCCTAGATCCTCTGTTCCTGGAACGTAAGATTAACTACTCCCCCATTTTTGTTACAAAACTTCTACCTTTACAGTTGTGACAATCACAATTAGTCATGGCAACTTTTACTCACTATTGAATCATAAGAATCTTATCCCCATCTCTTTTGTAGACAAGATGAAAACTATTCTGTGGGGACTCGATATTCCCCTGCACACACTGAAATTAAACTCTGTCTTGAAAACTTGTAAGCCGGTCACTTTGTGCCTTTATGGTGGTTATGTGCCGTGGAGTCAGTTCCGACTCACAGTGACCCTGTACAGGGTTTCCAAGGCTGTAAATCTTTACGGGAGCAGAAAGCCTCATTTTTCTCCTGCAGAACAGCTGGTAGTTTCAAGATTCGCAGTCCGATTTGTAACCACTACACTACTAGAGCTTTTAGGTAGCAAGTGTCTAAGTTGCTCATCCTTATCAACTCTGTGTACAGAGGGGATGGGAATGATCCTTGCTGTGAAGATTCCTTCTCTCTTGGTTGGGGCTAGTTTGGGTTCAAGGTTTCTAGACTCCTCTGGGCAGCAGTCTCAGTGGGTCCAGACTCTTTGAGAATTTAAAGTTCCACCTCACATTTTTCAGTGAGTGGTTTGGTGGTTTTTAAGAAACCAGGGTGAAGATAATGATTAGTAATTAGCAATAAAAATAATAAATAATCTTTAACAGATGCTTCTTGTGTGCCAGGCTCTTGGCTAGGGTTTTTATAAGCATTATTTCACGTCATCCCAGAGAACATTCTGTGAGGACGCACAGTTTTAAAGATGGCTGCTTAGTGTTTTAGAGGGAATACGAACCTGTCCCCCCTCCCGCCCCCTCATCTCTGTGAAGAGTCTATAGTTCCTGACAGGTATCAAAAATGCATTTGTTCTCTAAAATCAAAGGGTCGTAAAAAGTGCACACATGAGCTTCTCTGTCTCTGCCTTGCTAAGCATATTCCTTTTCCCATGTTTCCCAGGGGTACCAGGTGTCCGAGCCGAACGCTTCGAGGAAGGAATGAGTGTCAAGCATTGTGCGTTATCCTTGGTGGGAGAACCCATCATGTACCCAGAAATCAATAGGTTTCTGGTGCTCCTCCACCAGCATAAAATCTCCAGCTTCCTGGTCACAAACGCGCAGTTCCCGGAGGAAATCAGGTGAGCTGTCTGGCATGTTGAGAAATCAGGTGTTGATACACACGGAAGGACTCACACTTACTGACTACGGAGAGTTCCCGACTTCCGCCAGGACTGTGTCCACGACTCCACTGCCAGTCCAATCCCTTTCTGCTCCCTCCACCCCCTTTTTCTAGTTTTCATTCTTGCCTTTTACGATCAGTGTCTTTATAATTCTGGTTTCTTGAACATTTGCGAGTGAACATCTGAGGATGATGACATCAATAATATTTTATGTCCTACTAACAATTTGTTGTTAAGTGCCACTAAGACGGTTCTAAACTCAGAGCGACCCTTGTATTGGGTTTCTGAGGCTTTAAATCTTTGTGGGAACACAAAGCCTCATCTTTCTCCTATGGAGTGTGTGGCAGGTTCGAAGGATAAGATGTATTAAAACAAAAATCAAAACAGATGATGGTAAGTATGATTCAGCAGAACTCATTGCAAGTCGGGGATAAGGCTGTGCTCTTTAGGGGCATAGAGAGTCTTGCTCTTCAGAATTCATTCTGTTTAAGAAAATGACATTAGAAAATAAAAGAGGCCCTGGTAAATTTCTAGGAGCATTCAAAACAATGCACTTATTTTTTTATCCATATGGAAGAAGCAGAGTTTCCTAGGGAAGCTATCATTTCATGGGGATGTAAAGTATGGCTAGGGTTGGTATTCTTCTACGTTCTTCCTTAGTCACTGTCCAGCTTTCACATGCGTAGGAGGTTATTGGAAAATACCATGGCTTGGGTGTTGGAAGAAGTGCAGCCAGAGTGCTCCTTGGAGTCCAGAATGGCCAAACTTCATCTCTCATACTTTGGACATATTGTCAGGAGGGACCAGTTGCTGGAGAAGGATATCATGTTCGGTAAGGTGGAGGGTCAGAGAAAAAGAGGAAGACCCCCAACGAGATGGATTGGCAAAGTGGCAGCATCAATGGGCTCAAGCGTGGCAACGTTAGTGAGGTTGGCCCAGGATCGGCAGTGTTTCATTTTGTTGTACATAAGGTCGCTATGAGTTGGTACCGACTCGATGGCATCTAACAACAACAGGGTTGGTATTGGGAAGGCAGGAAAGTGTATTTTGTTAAAGGAAGAACCTCATGAGGGAGACATGAAGCGAGGTTATCTGTGATTACTATTGGGTAAGAGATCACATCTGTATCCTGGTATGTTGCTGTAGGGTAAGCTCTGGACTGCGTAACCACGAGGTTGGCAGTTCAAGTCCACCAGTCTTTCCTCTGAACCCTATATAGGTCTCTTTGAGTCGGAACAGTCGAACAGCATTTAACAACAGCAGAGCTGGGTCTTGGAGTGTGGGAGTTAGCGTGGCTGTTGCAAATGAAGCCCGGAGACTTTGGGATAAGATGGGGAGAGGAGTCCCCAGGGATGGGCGCTGTAACTCAGAGAGACCCATTCTCACCTGCCCCCTGGAGGAGGGCCCGGTCAGTCTTCTGGATTGCAGCGCCTCAAGCCTAGTACTTACTCACATTCCATATAGGACTATCCACAGCCAAGACCAAGACTCACTTTTTTTTCACACATTACAGAGGTTTGTAAAATCATGGTGGCCGTTGTAATTGATGGTTCCTAATCTTCAGAACCGGTTTAATGGCATTTAACAACAACAACAGCAATCTTTAGGAGTCCTGGTGTGGTGCTGTGGTTAATGTGCTGGACTGCAAGGTCGGTTTGAACCTTAAGGCTAGGGGTTCAAGCTCACCAGCTGTTCCTTGGAAACCCTATACAGGGTCTCTATGAGTCAGAACTGACTCAGCGACACTTAACAACAACAATAACAACAAAATCTTCTGGTAGGCATTCTGGTGGTATCACATAGATGTGACACCATAAGGTCAGTTTGAGCTGCAAGGTCGGCGGTTCAAATTCGCCAGCTCCTCCTCAGAAATCATATGAGGGTTGTTATGAGTTGGAACTGATGGACCACACTTAACAACAACAACAGTCTTCAGGATAGAGTTCTAGCGGCATTGTGGATTGCACGTTGGGTTGCTAAAGGTCAGCAGTTCTAGTCCACCAGCCACTCTGTGAGAGAAAGATGAAGCTGTCTGCTCCTGTAAAGATTTAGTTTTGGAAACCCTGTACTGGGTCGCTGTGCGTCGGAACTGACTCCACGCCTTGCCACAACAATCTTCAGGACTTGTTCAGGCATAGTGGAAGGTCAGGCTGGTTCCCACTCTGCATTGGGCTGCTTTGTGACCAAGTCCTGGAGGGTCCTGACTACAGCTAGCAGTCTCCATGGAGACAGGCTTTAGTGTTGTTTAAGGAAAAAGAGAAAAAGGCCAGTTAGGTCATCTCGTTTGTCAGTTATTAAAGGGGCAATGAGACAGACACTGTGGTTACGCTGTGTGGCTGGTTGGCATTTTGGTAACGGATGTCCTTTGTTCAGGAGTGATTGTTGTTATGTGCCATCGAGTGGATTCGAGCTCGCAGTGACGCCGTAGGGCAAAGTAGAATTGCCCCCGAGGGTGTCTGAGCTTGTGATCTCTATGGGTGCAGATCACCAGATCTTTTCTCCCTTGGAACCACTGGTTGGCTCGAACCGCCAGCCTTTTGAGTCACAGCTGAGTGCTCAAACCACTGCGCCACCAGGCCCCCATAGTGATGTATCACTGACCCAGCGTTCCCATCGCACATCTCTGTTGCTGAGGGGTTGAAGCAGTGATAGCCCCCCACTATTCCAGCTCCCTTTCCTCACTTTTGGCAGAGCTGCTTCCCTTTTAATTAACATCTGATTTCCACCCTTCCTGGTTTTCCACATGCTGCTGAGCCAGATCACTGCAAGGTTGGTTTGGGCCCCGCACCCTGAAAAGGTCTGTGGGCAGAGTCAACATGATCAGTTTTAAAGTCTAAGCGCCTGCTTGCGTGGCAGCATCAAAGAGAAGTGCGGCCCCTGCCTGCCCATTAAGGTCTTACAGTTAGAGCTTGGGAAGGCAGGTTGGTTTACAAAGTGTATCAGAGGATATCCAAGGGGCCCTTCTCCCTTGTCTTCTGGTTTGTTTTAATTCCTTCGCTAAAGAGAATGGATTCTGAGACCAGTTTGAAAGGAGAGAGGGAGAGGCTTTGGGGGATGTGCAGGAGAGGCTAAAGACAGGAAATGAAGCAGTGAGTCACTGAATCTGACAGAAGTAGCACCGAGTGGTCGAATCTCACGTAAACTTACTAAGAAGATGAGGAGGTGGAAGAGTGTGCTGCATCCGTTTTCTTCCCGGTCTTGCTGCTATGAGATCTTGGCTGGGTACTGCTCAAAGCTCCCTGAATAGGTCGTGGTCCACCCAAAGCTTGGCTGTATCCCTCTCCCTCAGGCCCAGGTGAGGTGGAGAGGCGGCTTTGCATCTTTCAGACCAGGCTTGAGCTTCATGGACGGGGGTCCTAGGAAGCACCCTTTAGTGATTGAGGAAGGCAGGTGACCAATCAGCAGAGGCCCCATGTGGGTGTGAGGTGTGAGCTGAGTGTGTCTAGAGTGGCAGAGTGTGAGCCTTTAGTCACCATCACTGTGACTGTGAGTCAAACTGCTCTGTAGTATTTTCAAGGCGGTGACCTTTGTGAAGCAGTTTCCAGGGTACCGCTGGGTGTTTACCAGTTATAATTGAGGATAAAATGAGAGCTAAAGAGTTCCCTCCCCGTTTTTAATGATGACTGCTACAATATCTGTTTTGGAATGTATTTCTAAGATCATATTCAGTCCATATATACACTCTTGTTAAATGGGTACTGAAAAGTATATTAAACAGAAAATTGAGTTTGAACTATCAGCCTCTCAGTTAGTAGGTGAGGACATTAAATATTTGCAAACTAAACCGGTTCCACCTCACAGCGACCCTAATAGGATGGAGTAGAGCTGCTCCTTAGGGTTTCTAAGGCTGTGTAAGTCTTTACTGAAGCAGACCTGCCTCATCTTTGTCCTGCAGAGTGACTGGTGGGCTTGAACAGCCAACCTTTCAGTTAGTAGCCAAGCGCTTAGCCACTGTACTAGGCTCCTCCACCGCCGAGAGCCCCTCAAATTGTGCTGGGCTGATGCTCCTAAACATGAACTACATCTTGATTTAGTTTTATTTTCCGTTAAAACTAGTGTTTGAAGAGGGACTTTAAGTAATTGGGTAATTTCATCTTATTGGGGGCAATGTCCAGCCATTTGTAAAATAACGAAAGGCTATCCCCTCTTGTCACGTGATTTAAAATGATTGCTTCAGTCTTCTGGGAGAAGTAGAAACCTCTGGACCTTTTCCGATGTGTGATGGTGACATGATTACAGATTGTACGTTTCACATCTTGAGAAAGCCAGGCACAGGAATAATTTCTTTTTTCTGTCATTTTATTTTATGACAAGGAACCTCAAACCAGTAACCCAGCTGTACGTAAGTGTGGATGCTAGCACCAAAGACAGTCTGAAGAAAATCGACCGCCCACTCTTCAAGGATTTCTGGCAACGATTCCTCGACAGTTTGAAAGCGTTAGCCGAAAAGGTAAGAGTTATGATGCCGTGCCATTAGAGAGAGAGTTTGTCTGTTACTTTTTTGAATCTTCTCTATAAAAATGATTATTTAAAAAAAAGGAGTAAAATCTTTCAGCTTTTTTTGGAGTGTATTCAGCTCCTTCTAACTTCCTGATATTATGACTGACAGACTTTATTTATTCTTTATGTATTTAGTGAGGAGACAGAGACCCTCCACGGGTAGGCCGCAGTCCATAGCAACCCTGGAGGAGGTTCAGCAAATAGTGTATGCTGGGTAATAATGCGGTAACACAGTTCAGCAAATAATGTTTGATGGGTAATAATGTGGTAACACAGTTCATCAAATAGTGTATGCTGGGTAATAATGGGTAACACAGTTCATCAAATAGTGTGTGGTGGGTAATAATGGGTAACAGTTCAGCAAATAGTGTATGCTGGGTAATAATGGGTAACAGTTCAGCAAATAGTATATACTGGGTAATAATGTGGTAACACAGTTCATCAAATAGTGTATGGTGGGTAATAATATAGTAACACATTTTTACGATTTTAACCTAAACCAATAAAATCTTACAGATAATGCCGTTTTTGTGCACATGTGATTCTAGTGGAACCATTTCCTTCCTTAGCTATTTAAACTAACTGGTCCCGGATTAGGGCAATTGCTTTCTCAGAATTTTGTAGCAGTGAGAGTTGGCATTTATTTATTTATTTATTTTTGAACTTCATCAAAATTCAAATTTTTTATGCAATAGACATTATCAAGAAAATAAAAACACACCCTACAAAATGAAACAAAATATTTGTAACCTGATTTAAAAAAAAAAATCTAATACCCAGAATATATAAAGAACTCACAGTTAAGTGAACAACAGCAGTGAAAAAGAGACAACACCATGAAAAACTGTGTTTTTGTGATACTTGATTTTAACGCGTCCACTTTGTTAGACTACATGACCAGTTCTTAGGAAAACACTGGTCTGGCTATTGCTGTTTATGGCCTTTTGTGGATGGAATTCACATTTACAATCTGTTGACTTTAAGTAAAGGAAATCCCTCGCCATAACGTGGTGGCCCTCATCCAATTACTGGGACTCTTTAAAGAGTGAAACTGAGATTTCCCTGAGGAAAAAGAATTCTGTAGCAAGGATTTAACATGGACACACCGCTTGAGATTCCCGTGCGCCTTTCTTCTCTGTTGTTGTTAGGTATCAGCTAGTTGTTTCCAACCCATAGCAACCCTGTGTTCTACAGAACAAAACACTGCTCAGTCCTGCGGCATCCTCTAACTTGCTGCTATGCATGAGACCATATTTCCAGATGTCCCATTTTTGAATGCTGTGTTGTTATTGTTAAGTGCCTTTGGGCAAAATGAAGTCTTTGACAACATCAGTCCTTTTTCCATTTATCTTGATGTTGTCCACCGGTCCAGTGGTGAGGATTTTTGTTTTCTTTATATTAGGTGCAACCCATACTGAAGGCTGTGGTCTTTGATTTTTCATCAGTTAAGTATTTTAGGTCCTCTTCACTTTCAGCAAGCAAGGTTGTGTCATCTACATATCATAGGTTGCTAATGAGTCTTCCTCTAATCCTGATGCCATGTTTTTCTTCAAATAATCCAGCTTCTCGCATTGTTTGCTCAGCATACAGGTTTAGTAAGTATGGTGAAAGAATACAACCCTGGCCCACACCTTTCCTAATTTTAAACCATTTGGTGTTCCCTTGTTCTGTTCGAACAACTGCCTCTTGGTCTATGTACAGATTCCTCATGAGCACAGTTAAATCTTCTGGAATACTCATTTTTGTAATGTTGTCCATACCTTGTCATGATCTACACAATCAAAAGCCTTTGTGTAGTCAATAAAGCACAGGTAAACACCTTTCTGGTATTCTCTGCTTTCAGCAAAGATTCATCTGATGTCAGCAGTAAAATCCCTCATTCCATGCACCCTTCTGAATCCTCTTGAACCTCTGGAAGTTCTTTGTCAGTGTATGGTTGCAGCCATTTTTGTATTATATTTAGCAACATTTTACTCACATGGGATATCCATGATATTGTCCAATGATTTCTGCATTCTGTTGGGTCTCGTCTCTTTGGAATGGGCACAAATATGAATCTCTTCCAGTCAGTTGGCCAGGTAGTTGTCGTCCAAATTTTTTGTTATAGATGAGTGAGTGCCTCCAGTGCCGCATGAGTTTATTGAAAGATTTCAGTTGGTATTCCATCAATTCCTGGTGCCTTGTTCTTTGCCAGTGCTTTCAATGCACGTTGAACTTCTTCATTCATCGTCATTGGCTCTTGCTTATACGCTGTCTCTTGAATGGTTACACATCTGCCATTTCTCTTTGGTACAGTGACTCTGTGTATTCCTTCCATGAGTGCTGTGAATGGTACCATTTAAGAAGGAAGCTCTATGGTTGGAGGCTTCTCTAGAAATTCAGAGGTTTCTTTGAACACAAGCAGTTTGACTTCCTTTTGAAGGTTCAGTGGAGTAGGTGCTACCCTAAAGCTTTATTGTATCACTGTTGAGTGCTGAGAAATAAAACATGTGTTGTACCTATACTGATTGTTGATGTTGTTACCCGCTGTTCCGACTCAGTGACCCTGTATGTACTTTCTGAGGAGCGGCTGGTGAGTTTGAGCTGCCGACCTTGCGATTCAAACCGACCTTGCAGTTGAGTGCTTATCCTATAGCGCCACACCAGGACTCTATACTGATTGTTTTTGTTGTTGTTAAGTGCTGTGGAGTCAGTTCCAACTCATAACGAACCCTGTATAGGTTTTCTGAAGAGCAGTTGGTGAGTTCGAACCACCGACCTTGTGGTTCAAGCTGACCTTTTGGTCTAGTACTTATCCTACAGTGCCACACCAGGACTCCTTTGTATGATTATTGTTGTTGTTAAGTGTTATTGAGTATGTTCCGACCCATCACAGCTCAGGTTAGGGTTTCCGAGGAGCAGCTAGCGAGCTTGAACTGCTGACCTTATGGTTCAAACTGACTTTGCAGTCCAGTGCATTAACCCCAGCACCACACCCGGACTCCCTATACCGATTAGTAATGTATTTTATCCTAGCTAAGCTGCATTTTACCCTATGGTCGATGGTTCCAACTCACCAGCCACTTCTTAGAAACCCTATATAGGGTCACTATGAGTCGGAACAGACTCGATGGCACTTGACAACAACAACAACAAACTGATTAGCTAGGGCAAAATGTGTTAGGGCTAGAATGTAAAATGCATGATGAGATTATATGTATTTTAAACCAGGATTTTGAACGGGTTCATTAAGTTTCAACACCTCCTGCTGCTGAGAATTTTCCCGCACCCCCCCTCCCAGGTATCCAGAATCAGAGCCACATGGGGATCTTGTTAAAATGTTTAAAAAAGAATGCATGTACTTAAGTACACGTAAGAGTCACCTAGGGATCTTTACGGCTCACCTGGGGATCTCTGTGACTCACTTGAAGGGCTTTGTTAAGCTGTAGATTCTGTTCAGTATAGAAAGGAGCTCTGGTAGCATAGTGGTTACGAGTCTGGCTGCTAACCTCAAGGTCAGCAGTTCGAAGCTACCAGCCATTCCGTGGGAGAAAGATGAGGGGTTCTGCTCCTGTAAAGATTTACAGCTCAGAAACCCTCTGCTGGGTTGCTGTGAGTCCAAACTGAGTCCGTGGTTCATATCCACCACTGGATCAAGGGTGGGAAGACAGTTCATCAATAAGGGGTTAAACTGGTATACCCCAGCTCAAAGCCATGTTGTTTTTTAAACAAAAAAAATGTTTTTCCAGATAATTTAAGGAAAACACCACCTGTACTTTAGTTCTTTGGTACTTGCTCAGACTTTAACTCTGCCGTAGCAAGGAAAGCTATTTGTAGAACGAAAATGTCTTGAGCTTTATAAACAGAGTTTGATATGTCCCAAGATCTTCTGCCCACTTGGTAACTTGCCCAAAGAGAAGGTGGTAGTAATGGGTTGTTTTCTCTGTTACTCTAGACAATTGTACCCCTTACGTTACCAGCATTCCTTTTTAAATATGAGGGAAAAAATCTGTGGGTATTTGAACCTTGGCTAGAACCAATTCCATCAAGATAACACTGCAAAACATGTGTTTGCTTCAGTTTCCACCCATGACAGCTACTTATCACATAGCACTTTTTATCAAGCGAGAAATCCCCTGGTACAGGACAATGCTGGCTACCTTGAGCTGCAGCAGTGTGGCCAGATGTGTTTCTTGGACAGCATCAGGACCTTATACCAGGTCAGGATCTAGTAGGAAACGAAAGTGTCTAGCTCTTTTCCATTTGCAAACTGTAAGGTTGCTACTGTTGGCACCTCATCTCTTTTTTCTTTTCCTCCCCCAAAGAAAAGTCAAATGCATTTTCCTGCAGGACACATTTTTGGATATAAACAACGGGACCCTAGTGCTCCTCCCCGAGGGTGCGCACGCTGTGCCCTGACGTCCTCATTGCGCAGAGTTGTCCTGTTGTTAAGGAGGCCTGTTGTGCGTCACGTAATTGCAACAGCTCTGTCCCTCATATATGAAATAAACCCATGTCTGAGTGGAGCCCACAAGTTGCAGATAAGAAAACAAGCATTTAGTATTTGATCTTTTTTTTATTGGATGATAAAACTATTACATGTTGATTATGGAATTGATGGGGAAGGAAAGAAAAATATAAAGAAGCAAAGAGGGAAGTTGCTTATCATCCTAGGGCCTTAGAAAGTCGCTGTTAGTCATTGAGACCGCTTCTGTTTGACTTGTCTTTGGAGGGGAAGGAGGGGAATGCTTGCTTTTTCAGAGTTGATCCCTGGTATTTCGCATCATGTCATCGCATTTCCATGCCTTAGTATTCCTTGGCCATTAGCACATCTCTGTGACCATCACTTTAAAGACCACTTAGTCTTTCCATCACTTGTCTGTCAGTTTGCCATACTGTGGTGGTGTCGGGGACCTGCCTCGACATAGGGGTTCGGTTCATGAGGAGGAGATACCTGACGGCGGTA